ATTTATCCTACTGATGCTCCATCTGGAGTCTGTGCCTTGAGTACCCAGACCTTGGGGAGGGCAGGGAAGGTGCTGTGCCCATCGCAGAAACTGAAAGGTGGATGTAAACTGCAAAACTGTGACCCCAAATGATCTATGTGAGGGTGGCAGCGGTGCTGGGAGCGTCTTCAATGCAACCACCACTGGCAAAAGCAGGTCTGCCTGTGCCCTCTTTATCCCTTGGTATTGCTGTTGCGCAGGGAGAGCATATTGGGACATCTGTGTGGCTGGTTGTATCCTGGATGCTCCTTTGGGTGCACTATGGAGAGCAACTTGTTCTCAAGCCCAGAGGATTTGTGTAGAAACATCATCCACATCAGTGGATTTACCTTTAAGTGTTGCTTGAGCAGCCTTTATAATGAGCAGGCAGAAACAGGTGGTTCTGGGGCAGAAATGGTCTCTTGTGGCAGATCTTTGAGCTGGGCTAGATGGACTGGGAGTGGCCATAGCCTTCTAGGGGACCAGAGCAGAGCCTACTCAGCCAGCAAGTCTCAGGATGAGGGTCCCAACTCTTTTCTCTGCAAAGCCCTGACCCACCCTCACTCAGAGGCAAGTACCTTTATCAGTCTGTAGCACAATCCTGGTCTGATTTTGCAGGGCTTGCCTGGAGGAGGAGCATCTCTGTGAGTACAAAGCACAGGGCAGGACTCCTGATGCCATGACATGCCAGGGGAGTAGTTGGGATACCCTTGGGCTGGCTTCCTTTGTAGTCCTCTGAGGGCAGCATAGTGCTCACCTGCACCACCTGTCACAGGGCTCCTGTGTGCCCCCACACACCATAGGGGCTGAGGCCACGCTCCATTTTTTTCCCAGTGCTGGCGACGAGGGCCAGGCAGCCTTGGCTATTGTGCAGGCGTCTCAGAAGGACTGCGGAGTCTACCGGTGTGTGATCAGCAACGAGTATGGCACCGACTCCACCGATTTCCTGCTCAGCCCAGAAGGTGAGGAGCCCTCAGCATCCTCTCCCATCTGCCTGGGTGTGCCAGGGGGTGGTGTGGCCAACTATGGAGAGGGCTTGGTGCCAGACTGTGGCTGGGGAGCCTTGCACATGCCATAACACCACCTCTGTGAGGGGCATCTGACTCTGTACTAATTTATGAGCGATTCCCACCATCCTACTTGCCATCCCTCGTTGTGCAAGTGCATGGGGCAGGGTGGGATCCTGTCAGGACCTTGACACCTCTTTGCTTTCTGTCTCCTCTAGCGTTGTCAGGATTTAGCCTGCGGGAAGAGATTGAAGGTAAGGGCTACGTGTGATGAGCTGTGACTGCTGCCCCTCGCTGTGCAGGGGACAGGCAGCTCCATGGAAGGGGCAGGATGTGCCTGCATTGTCCCTGCTCACCAGCACTTCCCCCCAGCAGTTGGAGAGGAGATCGAGATGACACCCATGGTGTTTGCAAAGGGTTTGGCTGATGCAGGCTACTGGGGGGATAAGCTCTTCGGGCGTGTGGTGAGTGAGGACATGGAAGTGGGTGCTGGTTTCCTGCGCAAAGCCTGCCGTGCCAGAGCCATCTATGGCCTGGAGCCCATCTTTGAGTCTGGCCACACCTGCGTCATCAAAGTGCACAATTTCATTGTCTTTGGGACCAAGAATGAGAATAGCCTCATCGAGAAGAACTACGATATCACCATCCAGGTGGGCATCCTTGTGGGGCACCATGCACCTGTCTCCCCTCCACCTTCCCCATTTGTGTGTAGGTTGATCCCCAAACAGTCCCCAGCTCTGTGCCCAGTTTTGCTATTTCCTTCCACTTTTGGAATGCTCTGAAGAGGTCTAGCCATGTTCCAGTGGTCTGGTCGTGTCTTTGTCATTATTGGCATCAGCTCTGAGCAACACAGAGCTGCTTGGAACCTTCCCATCACTTGTCCTTTGACCACCAGTACAGGGAAATAACTGGCAGTGGTCTGGGGGAGGTGTCGATGAGAGACAGGACAGTCCCTGACTCTTCTGTTTGCACCTCCAGGAATGTAAAGTACAGAACTCCAGCCGTGAGTACTGCAAGATCTTTGCCGCCGAGGCACGAGCCATCCCTGATTTTGGAGCAGTGCCCGAGTAAGTAAGGTGCTGCAGCTCCACTGGCTTGATGCCCTGGCAGAGAACAGTGGGAGGGTTCCCTGTGGGCGCTGGGGCATCCCAAAGGACAGTGCATTTTTCTCCCACCCTCAAACAGAAAGGATATTGGGAGAAGGCAAAAGCCAGGGATGCAGACCATGGTGTGAATCTCTGCTTGCAGCAGTGAGAGAGCTCACCATGCTGACCCCATCTGTGCTCTCCCACACAGGATAATCCCACTGTACCTAGTTTATCGACCGGCTAACAACATCCCTTATGCCACAATGGAGGAGGACCTGGGTGGGCCCTGCGAGCAGTACTGTATCATCGAGAGAGATGGCAGCTTGGTGGCAAGAGGCACCTCAGAGATTGTGCTCAAATGCTGTACCTTCCAGCATTGGGTCTACCAGTGGACAAATGGAAACATCCTTGTGACTGACATGGAAGGTAAAGGGATCTCCTGTCTGACTCCTGTGGCCCCTCACCACCCTCCAGCCTGGAAAAGGAGGAAAAAAGCCCCAGCCTTGCTGTCCTGCCTCTCTCCCCATATGCCATGGAGCCCAGCTCCCAGGGCAGTGACCTGCCCTTGGTGCCAGTGCCCATCCTTCTCTGGACAGAGCCTGATTGTCCTCCCTTTAATTGCAGGAGTGGGCTGGAAGTTGACCAATGTGCGAATTGCTACCAACCTGAAAGGGTGAGTGACCCCAAGCTGCTGGGGCAGGGTGGCACCAGCTGTCCCCAGCTCTGCTGTTCACCTGGCAAAGGGCCATGGTGGTCAGTTTGGTCAGGCGCCATCCTCAGCTCCCTGCTCTGGTGGGACATCTCCTGGTGCAAAGCAGGAGCTTAGGATGACTCTGTTGGCAGGTACCAGGGGTTGAAGGAGAGCTGCTTCCCCTCCCTGCTGGAGCAATTCCCGGTTGCTCACCGGTGCAATCGTTACTGCAGCATCCTGGGCCTGAAGACACTGGAGCCAGCCAAGCCCAAGGGCTCCAAAAGCCCCTGCCTAGGCAGGAAATCTGCCCAGTCCAGTCCCCAGCTCCAGAAGAAGGCGCTGTCAAGTCCTCAGGGCACCCGTAAGGCTGCCGTGAGCCCCAAGAGCTCCCGGAGAGCTGCAGAAACAAGGGAGGCCCCAACAGCCTTCAAAACCAGGTCAGGAGAGAGCAGCAGAGCTGGCTGCCCGCAGTAGCTGGAACCGTGGCGGCTGGGACCCCCGCTCTGGACCCAACCTGAGCAGCCCCATGGCGACTCTGGAAAAGGGAGATCCTGGCAGTGGTCTCTGCCAAAACTCTCCTCCCTCCAGTCCCACCCTGGCCCATGGCGCTTGTGTTGTGTGGTGTGTGTTAGTGTCAGCAGCTGGACTGGGGTTGTGGGGGGCTGTGAGCTGTGGCTAGTGGGGACCTCTCACCAGTACCTCTCTACAAGAGCTGCTGCTGCTGGTGGAGTCTGGGGGGCCACGTGCCCCTCCATGCTGGGACTCGCTTTCTTGTATTGATTCTCTCCATGTGCCTTCCTTAAGGCAGTTGCAGAGCTGCTCCCTTGGGCTTTGCAGGTGCCATGCCCCTGCCTGGCTCCCCCGAGCAAACTGGGAGCCTGAGATGTCCTCCTGGCTCCCAGCACCTCATGCCCCCTCTGTGTCCTCCATAAAGTGACCAGGCCAAACCCTGCCAGTGTTCTGTCCCTTGAGAACCCCAACAGCACCCAGGCAGTCCCATTTGCCCTGGTGCACCATTTTTGCTGCAGAGGGTTTCAGTGGTGGCTGCGGGGCTCCTCTGCTATGATGTGGGGCTCTGAAATATGGGCCAGTCCCGTGGTGGGTACCAGCAGCTGCACAGGGATGGAATTTTGCACCCGTGCTCTCCCCTGTTCCCTGGGGGAAGTCTCCCACCCCCTTGCTGGGTGGCTGCTGAGGGTGATGGTGCTGCTGTGTTGCTGGCCAGTGCCATGGTAAGAATGCTCTACCTCACATGAGACACTCAGGAGCAGTGACCTCCCCTCTGTGCCAGTTTCTGCCTTGGCATGTGGGGGTGTCCAGCCCTCAGGACTTACTCTTCTTTGTCCCCCTGCCCCATATATCAGACCCCACATACCTCGCCCAGCCCCACACCACGATCTGGTCATGCTTAATTAGCATCACTCCTGCTTGGCACATGCCAGACTCCAGTAGCAGCTGGCAGCACCCACTCCAAATCCTGCTGCCCCATGGCAGGAGGCAGCGATGGACAGGCAGTGATGTTCATGTTGGAAAGTAAAGCACCCTGCATTGCATCAAGCTTCCTCTGTGCCCATCAGCTCACCCAGGTGTGCAGCAGCCAGCAGAGCGTGGCAGTGGGCAGGGGCCTCACAGAGCACTGACAGCTTCATTGTGCTGCAGAGCATCACCTTCGATGGGGCTTTGGAGCAGGGTGCTGAGTGCCAGCAACACTCCCCTGCATGGTGGGGTCCCAAACAGTGGCTCGGTGGAGCCTGGTCGGGGGGGACGTGGCTGGGCTGGGAGTGCCGTGCATTCTAGGCCCTGGTCCTTTCCCGCTGGGTGGTTGTAAAATACCAATGTATGTAACGTGGCCACGTTGGCGACTGGGTGCTCTTGAGTGCAATAAAGTGAGGAGGACTGGCCTGTTCCCCAGCACTGTGGTCCCTGCAGGAAAGATGCACCAAGCAAGGGGTGATGGGGCATCTTTGTGTTTGGGGGAAGGAAACATCTTCAAGTACCAGCTTTACCCCCATCCATGCCCCATGGGGAAAAGAGGGTGGCTGTGGCTGGACCCCAAAACTGGAAGTGGGTGAGGGTCAACTTACAAGGTCTGCAGTGAGCATGGGGTGCAGCCTCAGCAAAGCACCTTCTGCTGTGGTGGGATAGCTGCAGGCAGGGGTCAGAGGGGGTCCGAGGGCAAGCACATGGGGATGGCCATAATTTATTTCGGAGCAGCTCCATTGTGTCCATGAGGCCAGCACCTAAGGGTGCTGGTTGCAAGGTGCACACGACTGTCCATCAGCACTTGGAGTGGAGAAGACAAAATGCTCAGGTGTCTGTCAGGGTTTTTTCTACCTTTGGGGCAAGCCTTGCAGACCCTGGTGCTCCTGCCATGGTTCTAGGTTGTCCCTGCACAGGATGTGTGGTTGTAGTGCCCACAGCACTCTGTCAGCCACAGCACACTTTCCGCCTGCCCAGCCCAGGATCCTGTGAAGGAGAGTGTCCCGTTCTCGAACGTCGAGCTGGAAGGAGAGACACATGGTCAGGACAAGCTGTTGCCACACCACCTGGGTCCCAGACAGCTCTGGGGCCCTCCATACCCACCTGGCAAAGAGCTGCTTGCAACACGTGTATATGGTGTAGCTGGTATTGCTGAAGTTGGCTGTGCTGAAGAATGTCACACAGTCACCCACCTCTGTTGGCACATGGAGGAGACCTGGGGGACAAGGTCTCCTATTGGGACTTGAGAGGTACCATGGATTCAAATCCCATACCCCAAGCATACTTGTAAGTCCTGTGTCCCAACCCTGCTCACAAATCCCATAGCCCAACTAGTGAATCCTATACCTGGGGCTGTGCAGGTCCCATGAGCTATCTCACTTCACTCCCTGAGACTGCAGGGAGCTCCTTGCGGTATGCCAAATGTTGCCCTTGAAATGTCCCTGTCCCGGGCCAGATGAGAGTGAGGGGTCCCAGGAGACCTGTTGAGCTTGGGCAACCCCTGGCAGAGCCATGAGAGGAGAACACGGTTTGGAGGCCTTGGCAAAGCCATGGGGAGGACAGGACAGTCACCCCCATCCCCGAACCTGTATCTATAGGGGTCTTCAGCCCTGTGCCTGTCCCTCCCCAGCTCCTTTTGGCCCCAGTGGCAGTGGGCATGGACCTACCCGCCAGGCAGGCGTTGAGCATGGAGACACAGATGCCGGTGAGCAGGGCCCGTAGCACCACGGAGGCAAACTCCCCCTTGCGGTCAGGTGCCAGGGAGCCTGTGGGGCAAAACAGAGACCACGGGGAGTCACATCTGGACTCCGTCTCTACCCTGGGCTGGGGACAGATAGGGATGTGTCCCTGGTCCCTATCTGGCTCTGCCACACAGTGCCCTCCCCACGCCAACTCCTGCTGTCTGGAGGACATGGTGATCCCAGCCAGCACCCAGCACACTGTCTGCCTTTCCTGGCAGCAGTGGGTGCTGGCAGAGCGCTGTGCCCACCCTGCACCCATGGGTGATCCACCAGAGCCCTCAGTGCTCCCAGCACCAGATTCTCTGCTCTTTGTGCCATAGCTGGGTGACACCCAGGCTTGTGGGACATGTGCAAAGTCATTCCTTTCACATCATGCAAATCCTGTTTCTTACCTGACAGAGACTAAACATGGAGGCTTGAGGGCAAATTCCTCCTGCCCCAGATGAGCCCTTGCTCCCTGGCCCAAGATCCCCTTGCCTCATGCCTAGGCACCTAGGACATGAGTCACACTCACCCAGGCCTCCCAGCATGATCCCAATGGAGCTGAGGTTGGCAAATCCACATAGGGCAAAGGTGGTGATGCTCTCAGCTCGTTCCTGGAGGGCACAGGGGGGTTGGTCACCTCTTTCCAGGAGCAGCCCCAGAGCACCCAGAGCTAAGCACCATGTCAGAGCTCCCAGCCCAGGCAGACAATGGAGATAAGTCCCCCACCCCAACTCTTCATCCTTCATCTATTTTGGGGAGCAAGAATGAAGGCTGTCCCTGGGGGAGGCTGGGCTGGGGGGACAGGGGACAGAGGCCCTGTAGGACCATGATCTGTCCCATCAAGGAGCAGGATAAATGGGAAAGGGTGTCACTGACTCCTTCCTCCCATACCCAGCACTTGGGGAACATCCAAGTCTAGTTGGCCATAGGTGCCCTCCCAGCACCATCATCCTGATTCAATAATCTTAAAGGACTTTTCCAACCCTCTGTCTTCCTGCCACCCATCTGCCTGGCCAGTTCCCATGCCCCATTCCAGCTGGCCTCATCCTTGCCCTGTGCCCAGCAGGGTGGCAGGTGCCTCTCACAGATATCCACTGTTTCCGGTTCCCATCCCACTCCTCCAGGCCTGACAGACGGTTCTTCTTGTACACGGACAGCTGCTGGTATGCCACAAACTCGTTCAGGAAGATCTTAATCCCCAGGAGCTCGGCCACCACCGGTGAGTCTGCCCAGTCTGCCCCCATGAGAAAGGCCACAGGCATGAGGACATAGGATAAGATCACCTGGGAAAAGCATCCCAGAACGGAATGACTCAGAGTGGACCTTCTGCATAGCCCCCAGCTTGGATACCCACTGCCAGCACTTGCCAAACACTCAGCAAGAATCTCGACATCTTACTAAGGCAGTGGGCAAAGGTGGAGGTGGGTGGGGGATGCAGGGTCTGGCAGCCCAGACCATGGGTCTGGTTCTTGGGGATACCTGGAAGGTGAGATCCTTGATGTCTACCATCTCCCCAAACCAGCGCACAGCAGCGTTGATAAACTCCAGCACTGCCAAGAAGGCGATGAGGTTGGCTGCAATGTTGGCCACAAGCCCCACGGAGGCGGCAGCCCCATTGCTGGCAGCTTCCAGGATGTTCCGCTCTTCCCTGTGTGGAAAAAGACCCCAATGTACTCATATGGCCAGGCATCCCCTGTGCAAGGTCACGTATCACTCCATGGATGTCTGAACAACACAAGCTCTCCCAGTCTTGGGCCACTCATAGCATCCACTTGTGCCCAAAATTGCCCTCATGGCTTCCCCGAAGTGGTAAAACACTCCACCTCCCAGTGCAGTCCCACTGCACCACCTGTCCCCTTACACTCACCCATTGGCAATTCGGACACTTCCTTTGCCCTTGAACTTGGACTCCTCCACTTCAGGGTACATGAGTTTGGACATGGCAAGGGCGCAGGGTGCAGCCATCACGGAGGCTGCGATCAGCGATGCCGCGTCGATCTGCAATGTGCAGACCAGGGGCTTAGACATCTCTGTGCAAGGCTGTGCCTCATGGCACACCACACCAGGGCACACCACACCAGGGCTGGCATCAGCCAGTAACACTCAGAGCAGTTCAGGGCTCTCTGTTTGCAGGGTGCACAAATTGGCTGCTTTTCCCACCTGAGCAGCCAAGCACATGGGACAGCTCGAGTGGATGGAGGCATTGCTAGAGCTGCAGCAATCATGTCCTTTGTTAACCTCTCCTGCTGTTTGACTTAATCATGATGGTTCTTGGCCCTTCCTTGTCCCTTTTTACCAGTATCAGAGCAATAGATTGTGTAATAACATTGCGAACTTTTACCTGCTGACAAAAGGCCAAGCTCCGAGCCTCACCCATCCCCTGTCAGTGTCTCATTTCTCTGACCTTCCACCCTTGGTTCTCCATTTAAGGAGACTAATTAATGTTTAAATAGCAGGAGCTCAGGGAGCAGGTCAAGAGAAAGGTTTATTTCCCATGACAGCAGTGACGAACTGGATAGGGCATCCCTGGCGGTCAGGGCCAGGAGCACTGAGGTGATGCTGGAGGAGCAGGGCTTGTTTGGCTGGGAGAAAAGAGGGTTGGTGGGGGGTATGGCTGTTTCTGACCACGTAAAAGGGGTTGGAGGGAAGACACTGCTCAGTGGTATCCAGTGAAAGGGTGAGAATCATGGGCACAGCTTTGGTGGGGAAATTCCAGTTGGATATAGGGAAAAAATTGTTTCTTGTGAGTGAGGCACCTGTTGGGGAGACCAGAGAGTTGGGAGGAGATCTCCATCCATGAGGATGTTCACCACCAACCTGGATAAAGCCCTGAGCATCCCCTGGGGCTTTGCTATAACCTCATTTGGGTAGAAGGGTGGATCAGAGACTTCCAGAGAGTCTTTCTAGGCTAAATTATCCCATGGTTCAGTGGAATTTGCCCTGCTCACTGTGCAGGGACACACGATGAGGGTCCCATGGCACTGCCTTCTAGCTGGCAGGGCTCTGAGGTTCTGACCAGGCCAGCGAAGGTGAGGCTGGACCTGTCTTTGGGACAAGGTGAGGCTGGACACCCAGCCTCCATCCTGCTTATAGAAGGGGACCATGGGGCACCTACTAGAGGTGTCCCACCAGCAAGTCCAGGGCAGTTCTTGCATGTCAGGACCATGCAGCAGGGAGCATGTGGCATACATCTACTCATGCACTCACCCCAAAGGATATGTAGGCACCCATCACACTGCCTGCAATGGTGGAAAAGCCACCAGTCATCACAGCATGGATTTCTGAGAGGGTCATGTCCATGAGGTACGGGCGGATGAGCAGTGGGGCTTCGGTCTGCGAAAGAGAAAACCCTTCTGTCCTTGAGACAGGGCCACACAGGGCCTCAGGTCTCCTGGGAAGGGAGGAGAAGACCCTTTCTCCAGGACAAGGTCAGCTACAAGCACTGAGGAACTGGATCTCCTGCTCAGGACCTTACCTGTCCCACAAAAATGTTCCCTGCGACACTCAGGGTCTCAGTGGGTGTGGTGCCCATGGAGACCTGAAGCAGCCAGGATATCTGGGGAAAAACAAGGCCACCATGTTGACAGAGGCTCCTGGCACCCTGCCACCATCCATGCAGGGGCACTGTTTGGCCCCTGCACAGAGGTGATTTTTGGAAGCACCCCCAGACTGCATAGAAACATCAGCCCTCAGGTTGGGCTTTTTCAGACGGACATGCAAGAAAGATGGGGTTTGAATCTATTCTTTTAAGCAGGACAAATCACCCCAAATTAGTACCGTAACAATTTTCTCGGGACATCCCTCAGCTGACCGTGGTAGTCAGAGGACCTACCAGGTTCTTCTCCTTCCCATAGCTATCCCAGATCCTGGAGTGAGGCCCTACCTTAAGAATGAGCCACTGCATGACGCCGAGGTAGTAGAGGATGGACATCACACAACTGAAGAAAACAATGATGGGCAGGGTCTGCAGGCAAGGCACCAGGGCACAGGGTTAAAAGAGAGCTGAGACACACACAGGCACACTTGGAGACCAAGAGCTGGGCATGGCATGGTACTGCATAGCCAGCCCATGCTATCGGTATTTCAACACTGGGCCAGGCTGGCAGGAGGGACAGGGACCAGTGCAAATCCCCCAAAGTACTGAGGAGGTCCATGGATAGATACAAAGCTGAGGGACACCCTCAGCACCTCATCTCTGAAATGCTTGAGCTCTACTGCAGCAAATCTGGCTGCATTTAGCTCTGTGCCTTTCAGGACCCAGCAAGGAGCCAGACTGGAAGAAAACCTCTCCACACCCCATTTCCCAGCTGACCTGGAAGGCAAAGACCTCTGCAATGAGTGTGTTCCCAAAGACGAAGCCAGAGCCAGCTGTGGTGTAGCCCAGGAAGAACTGCGAGAGAAGAAGTTACACAGTGGGATGGAGATCTCCATTAGGTCCTTTCCTGACATCTCACGTCTGCCTAGCAGGGGTCTCTATTCCCAGTCCCACAGCTTCCCTGCACACCAGAGAATGACCTGCTGAAACCTGAGCTGGAGACACTGGTGGGCTGTGCCACGGGGCTCTGCTACAGCCTGCAAGGGATTCCACACCAAGGGGTCTGGGCTGCTTCAGAAAACCAGAGTTGGCTTTCCTCCAGTTCCCAACAAAAATGTTTGTGAGTGTGCAGTCCTTGCCACTTCCCCAGCCCATGCCACTCCCTGCTCTTCCTGTTCATCCCAGGGTGCAATCACGGGATGGGATGAGTAGATTTAGTACCTGGATCTGGTCACCCAGCCACTGGAAAGCTTGGACACCAGGAGTTGTTCGGAGGACAAAGACTCCAAGTAAGAATTCCAAGCCAAGACCCCAGAAAACAGCTCTCCAGGACACCTGGGGACAAAAGTAGAACAGAGACTGAGATGTTGTCAAGACCTACAAGCCTCTGTTTCTGCACATAGTAAACACCATACACGGTGCCCTGGGTGAGGGTCATGGGGAGACCAGTAAAGTGTCACAGAAACCCATGAATATGGGTTGGTGACAGAGGAAGATGAAGAGTTGGTGGGACTCTGGAACTGGCTGGAACATAACTTGCCAGGCTGATCCAGAAGGAGACAAGCATCAAGACCTTCTAATTGTTCACTGGTAGCACAGACCTGCTAGACCAAAACTGCCTGTTCATTAACCCTTTGGAGGAGGAGGCTGGAGGGGTTGCCCAAAACACTGAAGCAGTTCAGGCTAAAAGCCACTGGGACTTCAGTCACTTCTGCCAAGTTCCCCACAGCACCTGAAGCTCAGGCCCGCTCTACACCCACAGCACCTGAAGCTCAGGTGTGAGTCTGGTGCTGAGTCTCTGGGTCTGACCCATTCATTAGAAGGAACATGGTGGAAAACAGGACAGAGGCACTGTGAGCAGCCCTGGGTTGGGAAGTGGGAAGGAGAGCAGTGGGAAGAAGAGCAGTGAAGTGGCTTTGGGGTCCATCCACCCAACCAGTTCAGCTCCTCAGGCTATGTCCAGCTCTGCCCAGGAGCTCTGCTGGGCTTCTGCTTCCTCCAGGGAAGGGGATGCATGTGGGAAGGAAGCACTTGCTCTCCAGTGCTGGGTGGCCATCTCCTGCAAGAGGACTGATGGCCAAGCCACACCCGAAGCACGTACCGCACTGTGGTGCTTGGAGCAGGCAAACAGGAACAGCACTAAAGCACAGAAGCCACCTAATGAGATGAGCTGCTCTGGGTTTTTGGCAGTGTCCAAAACCAGCCATGCGATCAGGCCTGCCAGGAGAGCCACCCACAGCAGCCTGCAAAAGAAACACCAGACTGTCAGCAAGAGGATATCCCCATGAGGAGAGCAGCTCACAAAGGGCAGGAGCTGATTATGCAGTAGTTGCCAGTATAAAGTCCATGTATCTGAAGAAACCTGGGACTCAGACACAAACAAGGGGTGGGAACAGGCATCACACTACTGAGGCAGAGGAGCAAAACATTTCTGCCATGGCTTTTACAAGGTTGAAGGCTGGGCCATGCCTTGTCATTTGTGAGGTGCCTGCATGGCACTAGAGCACAAGCCCAATGCCACTGACTGGTTGTGGTGAAAGGGAGCCATGGAAGGGGACCCAGGTGCTGGGAGGGACCTAGCCCTGCCTTCTCCTGACTCACCATCTCAGCCATGGCCAGGACTTTTGGAAGCATTTCCCAACGGGGCGGAGGAGAAGCAATACTTTTGCCCCACAGTGCTTCTTGAAGAAGCTCCAGCAGATGAAGAAGACAACCACAGCCGTAATGACCACCAAGGCAAGGGCTCTCTGGAAGTTGAGGTAACAGGCCGCAATGAAGTAGCACAGGTAGGCTGGAGAAGGCACATTGTGGGTCAGAAACATGAGGGCTGTAGGATCATGGGTTCATAACACTGACTGGGGCCAACATAGAGGATCATTTCCTCCAAATATCCTCCCTTGGCCACCCTCAAAGCTCTCCTCTTTGCATGAGGAGACCTTAGGGAGCACCACCCCAGCAGGGAGCAGAAGGGGCAGAGCAAACTCTTTGGGCAGGTGGAGAAAGGGGAGGAGGACAGTGAGGAGCAGATAGTCCTGGATAGGAGTGGTAGGGTGAGGAAGGGGCAGGCAGTGAGGGCTGGGAGTGGATACAACTTCCACAAGTCACCACTTTCAGTGTGTGGAGGCTGGGGGCATGGCTAGCCAAAAGGAATGTGGAGGTAGGGTCTCAGTGCCGGGAAGTCCTCACCTATTCCAAGGAGCCCCAGGACAACCCTTTTCAACACTTTGCCATGAGCCTTGCAGAAGTGCTTTGCCTTGGATGCTGGCTGCAGGGCCTTCCTGGGGAGAGTCACATGCCAAACACGTGAGAGACACAGAAGGTGGATGTGGAAGATCAACCCAGTCCAACCCAACTGAAGCCAGCTCAGCAGAGCTGGGTCATGACCATGCCTCCCCCAGGCCACTTCCAGCAGCGGTGTGGTGGTAATAGTGTGCCGTGGTCCACACATCCCAACACCCTGGCACCAGGAGTGGAATCCAACACTGGCTGGCTGCTATGGGGACAGAGATCTGCCACTGCCACCTTACTAGGCCACAGTGACCCATCAGACATTGTCCTCAGTGTATGGTCAATATTGACCCTACTCTGCTCCCAAATCAGGTTTGTCTCTGACAGAGCACACACATCTGTGGGGTTATCCTACCTGAAGTAGGAGGAGAATCTCCCTTTCTCTTCTCCTCTCTTCTTTTGGCTCTCATCACTTGGACCACCACATTCCTCATAGTGTCTCTCCTCTCCCTAGAAAACATCATTAGCTGGAGCACTCTGTAGCCTGACAAGAAGGGAAGGGGAAGGGAAAGAGGAGGGGAAGGGGAAGACTTACCTGGAAGCTGAAAGCTGGGTTATCTGTGCCCTTCTCAAGGCTGTCCAGGGTTATCTGGTTTTCTTCCATCTCTAGAAGTTCTACAGCTTCAGTGCATTAGAGAAACAGCACTGGGAGGGAAATAGCTGGGGAAAGAAAGACAGGATCACCTCTGGGAAGGTCAAATGTCCCGCTCTGCTTTTCAGTTTTGGGTCTCTGAGAGAACACCCTTTGCAGTAGCGATTCAGAGCAGCTCCTGCACTAGCACATCAAGGGACCATCTCATGGGGTCCTGAGGGTGGTGTGCTGAATTCCTTGTTCTCCTTTAATTCTGGGAAGGTCTTTGCTCTTCCATAATTCCAAGGAATTACAGGAGAGGATTATATGCCTCAGAGACTGCTGGTACTCCTCTTCCAAATTGGTGGCAGTGTCCACCATCCTCTGTGAGTACCTTTCCAAGTAGGGTTTTTCAAAAAATAAATCTGGCTGCATCCTTCATTGCAAGGCCTTGGCTGCAAGCCAGATAAGGAAGAAGGTCCTTCCATGTTGATAACTGGCACAGTGCAGGAGCAAGGGGTGGGAATGAGTGGTAGTTTGCATGGGGACTGGTCCTAAAGGAGGATCATACAGGGAGAATTGGTCCAGCAAAGCCAGAATAACCAGTGTTATGTGAGGGCAGGAACCCTCGGAGCATCATTCCGTTTGGACACCCTCCCAGTTCCTTTGCCTGGAGGAGGATGAAGGAAGAGCAGAGAAGTTGCAGGCAAGGAAGTGATCAACTGTAGGAGCACTTCTGTGTGAGGACAGAGGCAGTAAGAAGTTATCTTTGAGGAGAGCTATAAAAGTCTGTGGAGAAAGAGGAGACAGCAGGGTCATCGCCATCTTCTCACAGAGTGAGATCAGGGCCCACTGAAGAGAGGGATGCAGCACCAAATGAAATTGGTGAATGTGAGTAGGTTTAGAGAACATCCCCCTCAACATGGGCAGCTGAAAGTGCTGTGGGGCTCCATGAGCCAGCAGAGCCACCATGGGGGATCACTGGGGAGTGCTGGCCCCTGTAATGGCTCCCCAGCAGCAGGGCAGGATACAGGGTGGGTTCCCGTGGTGGGAACCCAGGACCACAAACCACCCCCCAGGGCCTCCAGCACCCCTGGTGTGCCTGCAGCTCAGGGACATCTCACCAGGACCCTAGCAGGGATCAGAAGGACCCCTTCCCCAAGTCCACCACCACTAAAAGGCACTCCCCAGGACCCGTCTGGGCTCAGAGACCCTTCCAAGACCTCCCAGAGTCCTAGGACCCCCAGGGTTCCTGGCTGTCCCCACCCTTCCCAGGCTCAGTGACTTCCAGGTCCCCTGGGCTGATGCCACCTCCATGTCCCCCCACCCAGTGCCAGCCCCCTGTTAGCACATTACCTTTTATTTTGGTGCAACCACATTGGCTGCCCTCTTCTTCATGGGTGAGGCCACAACAACAGGCAGCAGGTGGGTTGCTCCCATGTGCCCCCATGTCCTCACACCATCCCCATGACCCCCACACCCTCCTGTCCCCTATGGGCCCTCACAGGCTTGTGATGCAGCGCAGCCATGCGCCCCTCTGCCCTCCCAACTGTGTGTCTGCACCCCATACCCTCACAACCCCCATGTCCTCGTGCCCGACGCTGTCACAGCCCTGGTCCCCACACTCCCTGTGGCCTCGTGCCCTCCCTGTGCCCCATGGCTTCCCCCCCCCGGCACAGACCCTTCCCCCACCCTGGCACAGACCCTTCCCTGCACTCACCCTTCAGCCCCACTGGCCGTATAGCTCCTGGCCCGTGCCCCAGTTACCTATTAACAGCTCAGTCCAAAGAGCTGGGCTGGGCACTGTGAGTCTGGGGCCACCCCAGCTCCTCCCGGGGCTCACTCCCAGGAGCCCAATGGTGTGGTCATGCAGGGCATCGTGCCAAACACAAAAGTGTCACTCATGAGACTTTCACCCACAGCCAAAACAAGCCTTGAATGGAGATATCGAAAGAAGAAATGCAACCTTTACCCCACCCCAGGAAGTGCTTCCCCAAAAAAATAGAGTGCTGCACACGTGGCCTCCAAAACTTCAGTGGTGTGAAGTCTGGTCCCCTGATTCCTGAGCAGGATGGGGTGGCAGCCAGTAAAAGAGTTCCATGCCAGCGTGTGTTGGAAACCACTTTTTCATGCACGGTGGTGGGAATTGTATTCCCAGGTGTGTGCACTCCACTGGTACCACCCGCTCTTTGTTTGCGCAGGGAGGGGTGAAATGATGTGGCTCCGAGGGTGCCAGCCAGCACCTGGGCTGGCAGGAGTCAGTTTGGAGATCGGTGATTAATGACACCACGGGGCACTCAGGGCATCCACGTGCCACACGGTGCCCGTGGACAAACACTCCCTATGCCCTTCCGCACCTTCTCCCTATGGATTTTGGCCAATGCTGTCGCTAAAGCTGCTCGAGGCTGGGGCCAGTGAGGGTTGAGGGTGTGAGGGGGTGACGGTGCAGGTCAGCGTGTGAGTGACGAGGAAAGAGACCCTGAAAACTGTTGGTGCGATGCCAGTGTAAATTCCCCACTGCATGGGAAAGGCCCCCCAGCCCCGCGACACAAACGGGCCTCTCTGGGAAGACTCTCGGAGGCAAGAGAGGAGGGCCCCGCCCGGCTCCACCACGCGTCACTGCCGGCAGCGCCAAGAGCCGCCAAAGCACGGCAGCCGCCCAGAGCCCCGGTAGCGCGCCGTGATCGTATAGTGGTTAGTACTCTGCGTTGTGGCCGCAGCAACCTCGGTTCGAATCCGAGTCACGGCATCGCCCGGCGATACCACGGCATACGGGCTCGACTTTTAACATTTTCCATCTCCCGCGGACCGTTGAATCCGCAGGGTCTTTTGAGGCGTTGCACCGATATTTCACTTTTTCTCCTGGTGTGGATTTTTTTTTTTTTTTTTTTTTTTTTTTTTTTTTTTTTTTTTTTTTTTTTTTTTTTTTTTTTTTTTTTTTTTTTTTTTCCCCCAGCGGGGCTGCGGGGTCGGACCCGCCCAGCGCGGAGATTCCGCGGGGAGAGGGACTGGAGTGACGGGAAACAAAATAAACTGCCATAAAATTAAATAAAATAACATTAAATGAGATATAATACATAAAATAATAAAATTAATATTAAAATTAAAACAAAATAAAACGAAAAGAAAGGGAAAGGAAACGAATACACACACAACGTAAAATTGAAATAAAAATTAAATTAAAAAGTTAAATTAAGAAAAATATAATAAAATATAATAGAAAAATTAAATGAAAAAATTAAAGTAAATATAATAAAATAACCAAATGTTTAAATGGAAAAAGAATATATAATATAAAAAAAATTAAATATTAAAATTGAATATAATAGAAAAAACTAAAATAAAAATAAAATTCGATGACGAAAGAAATGTAAATTTAATAAATAAATAAATAAATAAGTTCAAAAATAGAATACAATAAAGAATATAAAATGAAATATGATATAAAAATTAAAAAGTAAAAAAGCAGCAAATATAAGCATTAATATAAACAAATAAGAATTACAAAATAGTAAAATAATAATGAAACTAAATTTCAATGAGCCAAAGTAGCCGCGGCAAAAAGCAGAGCCCGTATGCCGTGGTATCGCCGGGCGATGCCGTGACTCGGATTCGAACCGAGGTTGCTGCGGCCACAACGCAGAGTACTAACCACTATACGATCACGGCGCGCTACCGGGGCTCTGGGCGGGCGGGCCGCCACGGCGGCTCTTGGCGCTGCCGGCAGTGACGCGTGGCAGTGCCGGGCAGATCTCAGCCTTTGTTGCGGGGGCAGGGCCGGAGCCGCTCTCCGGGTCCGCGGGGGCCGGGGCAGCCCGTGAGGGACCCGGGGCAGGATCCCCGCCTTGCGCCTGCCCCCGCCATCCCTGGCCCGGGCTGGCCCCCGTGTGCTGACGCCCCTCAGCCTCTCCCAGGCGCAGCCTCCGGTGTCGGGGCGTGTTCCACCTCGGCTGCGGCGTTCACGCCCTCACCTTCACCCGCTGCCCTTGGCTCTGCTCCCTGTCCTGACTCTGACCCTGACCCTGCTTCCAGTGTTCACCTTGGACCCCTTCACGCCCAGCTCTTACCCTATCCTTCTCCTCATCCCACCCCTCATCTCCACCCTTACTGTCTCCAGGCAACCTCATTCCCCACGCAGTAACCCCCACCTCTCACCCCCCCGCGTGTTTCTCAGGGAGTAAAGTTTCTCCTGACCGCAGGATTAACAAACTACCGGGTGCAAAGGGACGGGAGAGGAAGAGAAGGACTAAGGAAATGGTCCTTGTGCCCAAACAGCAGCAGAAATCAGTCTGTGCCGCGGCTCCTCATTCTCCCTGCTCAAACACATATCAATAGTTAATGACTGTCCTCACCACTGCTGCTGCTTTCCCCACTGCTCCCAGTATTAGAAGCTCTTTCATTATCACAGGTACACAAAGAATTCCAAATACCTGCAATCAAAAGGATTTCTTGACAGAAAATATTTTTAGAGCGATCACAGCACTTCAAGGCACTGGGATGGCCTGAATGATTCATCCCCTGGGAGGAGCTGGTCACGGAAAACTAGGCTCCTGTGTGTGCCATGACCTCATTACTTGTCATATGCATGCACCTCTTGTGGGGGGTGGGGGTGTGTGCAGGGAGAGGCAGGGGTCCTCTACAACTATGCTGGGCAGGGGGATGTCCCTGCAACACATCCATCCTTGGGTATCTGCTGCAGCTGGCAAATCCTGAAGCTAAAACAGCCTTCCTAAGGCTTGGGGTAAACCAGAAGAAGGTCCTGTGCACCTTGATTACTCCATGAAGTAATTGCTCCTGCCATCCTGAGCTCATCTTGCTCATATCCGGCCCAAAAGAGCTCGGAGTGGTGGAGGAAGACAGAATAGTCTTTTGTGTCCTCCCTTTGTTTGTGTCTGTCATCCTGCCCTCAGCAGTTTGCTGGTGTGCTCTGGTGGGCACTGGTGTGCATGTGGGTCTCTTTGCATGGAAGATGCTTGTGAAGGCAGAAGGTCCTTGTGCCCTCCTCCATGCTGTCACAATGCCATGAGCCGGGCTGCGTCCAGGGTGAAGGGACACGCCCAGCTCCATGCTGGCCTGGACATCTGCTGTGTTGGGTCAGAACAGGTGTGAACCACGGAAGATGGTGGGACAGTGTGGAGATGTGGAGCTCCCCCTGGCAAGACATGCTGCCCATGGCTAGTGGGGACACAGAACCCACAGCAATGCACTGGGGGATTCCTCGGTGGCAGGGAGGAGGCAGCCAGGCTCCTGCTTTGGCAGCTTGGCAGATGTTTCTGGAAGCAGGGAGATGACAGAATCACAATGATCTCAATTGCTGGAACAGGCATGACTGAGATAACGCTGCAGCGATACAGGGAAGTCAGCCAAACACAGAATGGAGAAGGAAGGTGCGGGTGGACACAGAGATAAGTGTCCTGGGGGGCCTGGCAAGTGCAGAGGAGAAGGAGGGATGAAGCTGTTGCCACTCACAGCTTCCTGGCCATAAACTACCCTCCCCAAAAGAACTGGGCTATGACCACTCCTAAGGAAATTGTGCCAGGTTGTCAGGACCTCAACAGCCCTTTGCTATGTGGTTTTGTCTGGGTGGTTCAAACTTGCCAAGATGTGTTCAGACAGCATGGAGGAAAAGGGATGAGCTTGTGGGAACATTGACGGACCCATCTGTCTGCTGGGTGACCTGATCCTTTCAGGCTCTGCTGAGCACCCAGGCAGAATGGCTGCTCCAGGCAGGCTCCTCTGCTCTTCCCACCCTGCTCTGTCCCTCAGTGCCTTTTCTCTGAGCCCTCTGATACCTGTGGGTTGAATTCAGTGGGATTTTAAAGGTGCCTGCAATGTCAGAACACTCATGCAGCCAGGCAGAGAGTGCTGCTGTGCCCAGATGTGTCCACCTCATGGCATAAACATAAATCTTGTGGCTGGCACAGGGACAAGCAATTCATTACTGCACGGCTGTCTTGGCTGCTCTGCCCCTCCAGCTGTTCCCTCATTGGGGCAGCCCCTAGCCTCCTTTCCTGGTCTCAAGGAGGCAGATGGGAGGAAGAAGGATCCCCACCACCTTCTCTTTTTATCCCGGATCCCCAAAGCAGCCCCAGGAGCAGTGCTGATGCTGGGGAGGCAGGATGGATGTCTCTCTGCTGAGTCAGAGCTGGATGCTGAAGCAAGAGCAGGGAAATGTCCTGGGGATGGGATAATTTTGGAGGTGAAGGTTTAGGCGAGATTTGGGAGTGAAGGACAGCACACCTGAACTGGGAGGCAATTGCAAACAACCTGAGCTCGTGCTGTCCCCACCATCCACCTCGCCATCTTCTCCTAGGGCCACAAAGATGGTCTGAGGACTGGAGCACAGGGGCACCTGCTATGAGGGAAGATTGAGAGAGCTGGGGTTGTTCAGCCTGAGAAGAGAAGGCTCCAGGGAGACCTTAAAGCCCCTTCCTGTGCCTAAAGGATTAGATGGGATATTGGGAAGAAATTGTTGGCCGTGAGGGTGGTGAAGCCCTGGCAAAGGTTGCCCAGAGAAGCTGTGGCTGCCCCACCCCTGAAAGTGTTCAAGGCCAGGTTGGATGGGGCTTGGAGCAACCTGGTCTAGTGGAGGGTGTCCCTGCCCATGACAGGGGGTGGAACAAGATGAGCTTTGAGGTTTCTTTGATTCCAAACCATTCTGTGATTCTAGATCATGAGATGTGCACCGAGGACTGAAGGAGAAGGGCTCAAGCATTTCTTGAGGTGAGTGTTCAGCTGTGATGCTCTCCAGGGGCTTTATGAGCCCACAGTAGCACATGAGATGGTCCTGTTTCTTCTAAAGCCTGAACTTCAGAGGACATCTTCCAGTAAGAAGACTGGAAGGGAAAGTAAACAGGCTACAACAGACTGATTTTCTGCTAGGTTATGTTTTGGGATCCCTTTGCCTGGCTCCAAGACTCAGAAATCAAGGAAAATAGTCACAAAAATGTATGTCCTGTCTGACCCCCAGGGAACACAGA